TGTATAGAAGGCAAAACGAAGAGTAATCCAACAATTGACTATGTAGTGTGCACATTTGTGACAGAAAGCTAATAAACTTTAGCAAGCGTTTAAACTCTGATTCCTACATCAAAATATGTGGTAGTTCACAAGCTGTTCAATGATATTCTTTGAATTTTGTTAGACGTATGTCTTAATTAATTTTTAGGGTCTTGAAGGCTAAAAAATGAGCATTGTAGTATCCTTTGTACTTTAAAGACAAGGTTCTTGAAAATCGAAAAATGACAAATGAGGGTCGAGGATATTTTGCTCTATCGAATTGTTTAAGGACCAAGCACAGCAGTACAATATGACTTAGTGGACTAGATGGAAAGCTGACAAAGTTCTAAGAAAAGTACATTCCAGCACTGAAAAGAATTTTTCAGAGATTTCTGTATGGAATAATCACCTTTAAAATTGAAAATATGGCGAATGTTAGCCTAGACGATCACCTTCCGAAATCTCTTCTAAAAAGATATTGTTATTTTCAATATGTAAACTTGTTTTCTTTATATATTTCACCATATATCTAGTAATTACTTCATGCATTACATGACAATATTTATACGATGTTGTTTGTGACTGCTTCACGTCATCGTTTTCATTTCTCTTTGAAGACACTTTGATAATATTCCTTAATGCCTATAGCTGCTAATGATATGAAGATGTATGATGCAGTAGATATTGTCATTAGATAGAGATGTTGTTCTGCATGTGGTTTACTCTTTCCTGCCATTTTTTAAAAGTATTTAGAAGCTATTTTATTAGTCACGAAGATTTTTCATACACAGTCACCAATTTGAAGTCCTTCTTTGATCTAGTCGCTTCTTGGAGTCTTTTTCTGCCTGTTTCAGATAGACTGCAACCGTTGACCCAGAGTACCTTTATTGACTGATTGTGTTTGACCATGTTGATGAGAGAATTAACACTTGAGTCACTCACCAATTCGTTTCTGTCAAGAGTTAGTGCTTCAAGACTTGTGTTTTGATGAGCGAGTACATTGGCCAACATTTGCACTCCTTGATCGCCTATTTGATTCATGGCTAATCCTAACGTGGTTAATGTTCTATTTTTTTTAAACATTTCAACTAGATGAGGTACACCTGCGTTTGTGATGCCGTTCGAGGCAAGACCAAGTTTCTTAAGAGTCTTATTAATCGAGAGTACTTGTGCTAAATAACATAAACCTATATCAGAGACATGATTGGTGTACAACCACAGTTCGTGTAATGTTGTGTTATTGTATAATGCATTGGCCAGAATTGAGGCGCCTTTTGATGTGATTTCGTTGTATTCTAACGAGAGGCTTCTACATTGTTTGTTGACGATCACCTGTTGTACTACAATCTCTACGTCTGGATCTGTCAGTTGCTGTTTATTGAGATTCACCGCTGAGCAAGGCTGACATTGGGCGATAAGTGCTTCGAGTTTTGGATTGCGATAGGTGTGCAGTTCTGAAACAACCGTAGACACGATCAAAGAGGATTATGGAAAGTATGTGAGGCATAGGAGAAACGCACATTCAAGATCACAAGAGTTGCCAAGAGAATTTTCTTATTTAAGACGAAATTCTAGAAAATCAGTTTTGTGCAAGACAAGAAACGATTCTCTTTTGAAGTGGTTTTCTTAACAAGGTTTGACTAGATACCTGACAAATGACGTTATCAATTAGTAGAATATCCTTCTCATATATGTGGTACCAACTTTAGGTTCGTTTCTAGTTTCGACCACAAGAGTCGATAGAAAAAACATTGCCAACATCGGGACCGGGAGTACAAGTAAGGAAAGTTGTCCTAAGCAGAACTAAACATGGTACTTGAATATTCTATGATTTTGAGCGAATTCTTTTATATATTCTATCTATTAGAACATCATTCAAGAAAAATGACTCAAAACGTGCTAGAGTCAAGCAAATAAATAATAGAACAAGTATTGAAGATATTTTTAGTTATGATATAAATGAATCCTGGAATAGCTGTCTCTGGGCCGATTCCAACTTAGATTTATCGAGGCCATAACTGGGACCACTAGACAAGAAGATATCGAAACTATGGCTATGGCTGATAGAAAAGAAAATATCCGGACCAGACCACGATCAGGACCAAAAAAACTTGAAGCTGTAGATCTCTACTCTGAAGCAATTTTTCGCATCATGTTCTACAACATGGTGAAGATGTCGTTGAAGGAGAAAAAATGCTTTTGTTGACATTTTTTTAGAGGTAATAGTCATTTGTTTTGGTGACCGATGCATTGTCAAGAATTTCATGTTTTTAAGCCTAACCATCTTTTTCAAGTCAATTATTGAATCCGAAAACTAAGCTATTCAAAATCATGAAAAAATCGATCTAGTAATTGAAATTCTGTAAAAGTCAAAATGTGGGATCATTTTGTTTGTTCACTGCTTTATTTCCGTTTCATATTGAATTTGTTTCATTTTCGAGTTGTTGATAAGCCAATTTTGAAAAGCAGATGCGGCAAAAGGTCGATCAGTTCGTTTGGAAACTATGTTTTTCTTTCTAGAGTCGTTAACCTAAGATCACAGTCCAAGACTACTCGCCAAGAAAAAATAATCAAGCGTGCACATGAGGCTACCGCACTTATTAACACAATAATACATGTTTCGGAAAAGTATGCTCCATTGCCCAAAGGATAATGCCTTTGTTGCGTCTTTTCTCTTAATTGATAAGGAAGTTCGTCGAAAAATCTTCAAGTTCTGATAAAAGCCAAATCTATTATGCACTCCACCAGGTCCAGTTTTAGAGCGAAGTGATATATTAAATCAAATAAAGAACATTACATACCTTTAATTGCGTCATCTGTCACTGGAATGGCTGTAAACTCTATCAAATGGTTGGCAGGCATCGTTGAACTGCTGTCATTTGGCTGAGCTATTGTTGGGGAAAATTTTGGTCTAAATTTTAAAATAAATTATTAGTAATGTTTGTTGCTTAAAAAGGAACTAATTAGCTACTTTTTGAACGAACAGTTTTCATCTTGTAGTCAAGGTCACAAGTAGGGTCCAAAATCACAGATGGGAGCGGAGGATGGAGATCTACATAGCGATAGCATAAATTATTTTGCACCGCAGAGTGCTATTGTCGCAGAATCTAGTAAAACCCAATTCTTTTGAGCTTTTGCTAAGTTTATAGAATATTTTTCTGCTAGACTTCGTGATATATTCCCACATAGTCAGAGCCCATATCGCTAATAACACCGAGAAAAATTCACATGTATTGTGTTCGACTCGGTTCCCAACTATTTTGTACTCAACTGAAAAGATTTTTATATATGCATTATTCTCGAATGTTGCTCTTTTGAATGATACGATTGTAGCGTTTCTCTACATACAGTTAATAACCTACACAAGGCAAAACTCGATCTCTACGTTAATGACCTGATGAACTATGATAACTTTCCAAAGCTTTACTTTCTACTTTATGACAAATCAATGGTTTGTATGGAATACCTCTCAAGTATTCGAGAGAAATATTTTGCTTTTGCTCTAGTTATGGACTTCATAGATTCGTAGAACACAGTATGCTGATTGCGAATATCACAGTTTTTTTTCAAAATAAGTCAAAATAATAAGAGACATCTTGCTCATGTTTTGTAGCTCTAAATGTCAGCTTTTGATAGAAAAGACTTAAAATTTATATAAAACTCTTTCAAAATGGGCTCACTCGACCCCGAGTTTTTTCTATCAAAGTCTTTAAAAACGTTTGCACATTAAAATCATTTTTAATCTATAATGATTGAATATTGCCTCGATCAGCCCTACGGTCATAAACAGTTTGTTTTTCTTTGAGTCTGATAAATATACTATTTACAGGAATCAATTAACAATATTGATTCTACAACAACCACCGGATACGTCAAAAAGAATGATACTCTTTTGTGTCTTGGGAATATGACTTTCAGCTTTGACTGTGGAGAGTTGTTGTTCCACTTAGAAGATGCTCGATTGAGTTTTCTACAGAGCCTGTACCAAGCATTTTTCTATATAAAAGGAAGCAGAAATATAGAAATAAGAGTTCCAAACACATTGAAAATGACAAAGTCCTAAGCTCAAAAACATTTCTTAAAATTTTTTCGTAGGGGAGTGACCACTAAAATAAAATAATAGATCTGCTTGGCAGTACTTGTAATACTCTATCGACAGATCATCATATGAGAACTGTTATGTTTCTCGTTGCGACGTAAAACAATAGTCTTCTTTATAGTTTTTCGAAAAATTGGATGTTTCTATCTACGATTTCGAAGCTCTTGCAAAACGAGGCATAGTTAAACCACAATAGCTTTTTTCTTCAATTCAGTTGAAAACAAATATCAGATTTCAGGTATTCTGAGTAGGACTTTTGAAAAGTCAGATTGAGCTTCATGGCAAACGAAATATAGCATACTTCATAGTATCGAAAATCATCTTGATTAAATAACTTGTTTTCATATTTCTCTTTCGCTTTTTTCTGAAAAATATTTAATGTAGGATCTGTACAAAATTCAGACGGTATCTCTGAAGTCGAACTTCAGTTTTCTATGACAAAAATATGCGAGACATTTATGCAGTACCAAGTATGGCAGTCTATCTGATGAATCCGTTTTTACGCCTTTTCTTTTTACCTATTAATTGTAATCTTAACGGTACTCTTAGCTCATTGGACATGATGGAACAACAACTGATGTTCAAGTATTTCAATCTTATTGCTTAAACTCAATAGATGTTGTTCGACATTCGCATCTATTGTAATAATTGAGATAACTACGTGAATAAGTGAAGATGAAGTGGAAAAGTCTGAAAAAAAAATTTCAAAAATTAGAAGAATGCCCTTCTGCTTATAGTATCTCTCTATATTATGCCTTCTATACAAGTTTAGAACCCAACGTTCACATTATGGTCTTATCTCGATACAATTTGCTATGTAATAATATTAACATGTCGGTTCTTTGATAAATTTTCATGTGACTAAGTTATTTCCACGATATACTCACATCATCGTCGTCTTCGTTGTAGAAGGTGAAATAGTCATAATCTGCTCGATGAACTGTTGAGAAGTCGGTCGTTTGCTCGGCTCTTGACTCCATGCATTTGAGATGATGGATGCAAAAGTAGGCGGAACATCATTAGGAATTTCAAGCCGTTCTCCAGCTTTAACACCTTGGCTAATGGTTGCTTCGTCCATATCTTCGTAAGGTACACATCCAGTAGCTAATTCCCAAAATGCGACACCCAAGCTATAGATATCACTTGCTTTCGATGGTTTGCCGAATTTCAGCAGTTCAGGTGCTTTCCATTGAAGGGTGCCTCCTGCTACTCGCCGCCCATCGCTCTCAGTCGTCTGTCGACTTGTTTCCTGTCGAATTTTGGCCAAACCAAAATCACTGATCTTGACAAGATAGCCATCAGCTGCGTTTTCCATAAGAAAATTGAGCGATTTTATGTCACGATGGAGAATCGACATCGCATGTAAATAATTAACACCTTTCGTCATCTGAAGTGCAATTGACCAACGGTCGGTCCAAGATAGACTACGCTCTTTCTTTTGCAACACGTCAAATAATGATCCAAGCGACATATATTCAACAACGAGCGCATAATAATTTGGTTCGATACATGCACCAAAGATACCGAGCACATGATCATAACGAATCTTGTACATGGCAGCAACTTCATCCAGGAAGTTTTGCTTCACACTGTCCGTCAAATATGTAATACGAATTGTTTTGATGGCCACGCGATGGCGCTGACTGAGCCAAGTTCCCCGATAGACATCAGCAAATCCTCCTTGCCCAATTAGTTCTTCACTCTCAAGGTCATGACCTGGAATGTGAAGAAAGAGCTTTGACTCTTCTTCTATTTTTTTTGCTTCAACAGGGTTCTCAGCCTTAAGCACATCTTGCTGTAGATGAAACCTAAATGAATCAAATCGCCTTTTGAATTCATTTTTCATGTCCTTTTTCTGATTAAGTAATTCTTGTTGCTGTTTGACCATCGCCAAGGCAATTTCATCAAATTTCGACGATATTTCGGCGAGATCAGCTTGTCGATCGGTCATATCTTGATGTTGATCAAATAGCGAAGTGACATTCAGAGCTAAATTGAGATCGGCCGCATTATGTGAAAGTTGCATGTTGAGCCTTTCAAATTCTTGTTGATGGTCGGAATTGTTCAAAAATCGGTCGAAAACAGAGGCATCAGTGAATTTTTTCACAAAAACGATGCTTTCCTCCAATGTTTTAATCAAATTTTGCAAAGCTTTTCTCATTGCTGTTCCATTGAAGTCTGTAACCGAATCGTCTTCGAGAATAGCGATAATAGATTCGACTCGCTTGCTCAAACCTATGAATGAGATTAGAACGTATTTGTATCGTTTCAGACAAGGCAACTATTGAAACTTATGAAAAACTGAAAATTCAAAGAACAAAAGAGCTAATCTTTGATCAGTTCTGGAAAAGTTTTCTTAGTGATTTTTTTAATAAATCTAATTGTACCTAAATGCAAAGAAGTTGTTCCTAGTATAGATTGTCTGTGACACAAGGAGCGATTCATTTCTATTCGTGTTATTTTTGAGAACGTTCAGCATCTGGAATAGTTTTGAAATAAATTTGCAAACATTTCTGAAATCCAATAGATTTTGAATATTGGAAAAAACTTGTCACTATGGCTCAATGAGAGACCAAAGTGTGGAACTCACCAAGTCTGACTGTTATAAATTTACACTATATTGTCGCAGGAAATGAAATAATTTACTTAAAAAAATATCAAATAAATGAATAAATCAAAGCTATTACAATTATCTTCAATAGTTACATAACTTATTTTCTCCTAATGATAATAATTATATACGATACATGCCATAGGAAGCAACAATTATCATTTAATTCTTCCTTTAGACAAAACTCAACGGTATATGTCAAAGTTCATAGAAAGAAAGAATGGTGTGTACAAAAACTTACTACCACCTTTCCTTCGATCGCCAGAGGCTAGATGCGAGAGACACAAAATCTCGATTTAAGCTTATACTCACTATTTTCTTCAAAAACATTTGAGTTTCATCAAAAATACCAAATGTATTTTTGAGCAACACTTGTGACATGAACAGATAACAACTCTCATTTAGTTCAGTATGCTCAAGCGAACGTTATATAATCTCTGAAGGTTCGGGCACTTCTAACGACAACTATTTGAACACATGATATTGAGAAGAAAGTAATTTAGTCTCAAGCTATACACAAGCAAGGCTTCAGTCTTTCCATTATTTGACAGAGTTCTTAGCAATCTTTCAAAAATACTTACGTTGACATTGGTTTTTGTTGGCTTTGACTTGCTTGCTTACATCATGCAAGGTCTTGGCCAATTTGAGAATGGTCGGTAAAGCTTCGGTAGGATTCATGCTAATAATTGACTTCAAATATCTTTATTTTGTGACGTCTGCAATGAAAAAAAGAAAAGCCTTTAGAGCATCCTAGTTGTGAGCTATTCAAAGTATGATGTTGTGAATACTCAATTACTTTTCTCTCTTTGCTCGTAAGTTGAATACGCCGAGCAAAAGAGAAAATGGAAAAATATTTATCGTCACTATCAGTGTAATGTGCTAACTATTCATCAGTCAAACGAGCTCTTGTTAGTTCGGTCTGTTTTTCGACAGTTTTCACCCTTCTATTCTTCTATTATTCTGTCATGTTTTTTCAGAAAACTCGTCGCACATGTTCGAACTCATTTTTTCACATAGCGGGTGCGTGATTATTCTTTTCTTTTCTTCTTTGACCCTCTTATTTTTGTGCTGCTCGATAAAAAGAGTAAGTTCCTTCTGGAGCGAAAAGATTTTTGGTTTCTCTTTATAGATTGAATGGTTTGCTGTGCTCATTCATTTTCTAGCTCAAGTTTTCCCTTCTTCTCATTCTTATATTTGAGGGTGTGGATATGAATCTGAATGGGTGTGAGTAAAGCGAGCACTGATTTCTAATTATCTATTATCATATATGACTATATAAGTAATTCTAAAGCTTTCCTTTGTCCTACTATCCAAAAACAAAAGGAGTACATAGTTATATATAATAGTAGATAATTGTAAAGACTACCTAATTCTTAAGATTCACCGTCATTAAGTTAGAAGGTATGATGAGCCTGTAGATGTTTGTATAGTTATGAATTATTTGAATTACTCGATTTACATTAGGGCAGTCCAAAAGTAGTGGCGGAGGTATCTCAATTCCTTTTAAAAAACTTAAAGAAACTTTCTATCGATAGAAACTAATAATAAAAACAATTTTCTATTTTTCTATGATATTTGATCATTCTTTAACTAATATCATAATAATAAAATTTCAATAAGACTTGTTTGGTTATCATATGTGACGGTTACATTAGTCCATGTAGTCTTCGATATTTATACTCTTTTTTCTTGTCTTCACTAATGCATAGCCGTCTATATATATTAGGATATATCAAAAGTAGTGGCGACGGAACAAAATAAAATATAGAAACAAGTCGGTCGTGCTTCATCTTCAATCTCTTATTGACCTTCATGAAACTATTTAAACCACCTTTCAATTCTCCTGAGAGAAGGAGCTTCGTCACTTCCAACAGAACATAATTCATCGTCCATAATTCTCTGCTTGAATATTAACTGCAGTACGCACTTTTATATACAAGCGAAAATTTTATTTATTTATCTAAAATAATAATGAACAGCGTCAAACGTTAACTTAGCTTTTCTTCTTTGACTTTTTTCAGTGTGTTCTAATAAACTACAGATGCAAACGAAATAAACAAGATATGCATCTTTATATACATATGTGTATATGATTAGCCATTATGAGAGATGAGAAGAAAAAATAAAGAAAAGAGAGAAGAAGAAAATACATATCAAAGACAATATGAACTAATTTAATCATCGCACATCATAACCAAACAGGTCTTATTAGAATATTATTATTTTGATAAAAGTTAAAGAATAATCAAATACGATAGAAAAATAGAGCATTGTTTTTACTATCAGATTGTATAGATAGAAAGTTATCTTAAGCTTTTTATGAAGAATTGAAATACCTTCGCTACTGCTTTTGGATTGCCATAAGTAATTTTGCTACAACTTGCTCTTATGGGATGTTGAAAAATGCAGTCGATCAAACAGCGCACAATTTCATCACTGGTAATGAAATGTATGTTTGTCTCGTTCTGTTCTTTTTCTTAAGAAAAAAATATGCAAATATTTATCGTTATAACATGTGCATTAATTGTCAATCAAACAGGACGAACGACGAACACAGACTAATAGCTCAAATAATGCTTCGTCACACGGTAGCAGATGAAAGAAAAAGAGGCGTAAAAATTTCGAATGCTATCGAGTTGCTACTCATCCTGCGCTCGTCTCTCCTTAGCAAAGAACAGAACAAAATTAGGTTTTCTTTTCATCTTTCTTTTTAGTTTGTACCGTTTACAACAATAATGTATCCAATCATGTACATGATTCTTCATGAGTAACCAGATCATTCACAGTATGGAGTGTAGGTGTGGGTGTATATGAATCAATCGAAAAGCAGATCGACTTATCCCTTGGCGAAGAAGACAAGTTCAATGTGCTAGTCTCAACGCCTACTTTTCAGTAATCGATCAAGTCGAAATAATTCGAAGTATAAATAATGTGCCTTATAAAATGATCACTAAAGATAAATGCAGACATAATTCGCCGGTGCGTTTCATATTAAATACAAGATAGTACTTTGCAGAGTTAGACATTTGTATCTGCAATAAAAACTACATATGATTATTTTCCTTCATTAAATTGAAAAGAAATATGAAAGAAAAGAAAAAAAGAACACTAAATATGAGTAATTCAAGATAGAGAAAAGATCAATAATCTCATAAGTTCATGGATCCTAAAAAAGAATAATATATTTGTAACTATAAATATTTAAGATCGATTAAAATTTACTCGATAATCGATATGTTATTCTTTTATATAATCTTGAACTTGTTATGACGAGTCCATTTATTCGGAATAACAGTTACTCAGTTTAGTTATTGCTAAACATTTCCATGAAATGTATACATAATTGCCATCTATAATGGCCAGCTATCATTTGAACATTTATATAGTCGATACTGTATATAGTTGGGTAACAAAAAACAGATTTACAGCCGTGACTTTGAGTATATGAGTTTGGGTATTTCCAGCAAACTATTATCGCGATTTCAGCTCTGCCAGAAAAATCATCCGATGGCTTTGACGCTATATTTGTTCAAAATGATCTAAATCTCACAAACAAGATACGTAATCTATTCTGATTCAAATAATTCGCAAAACAATAGAGAACGAGTAGATATTTGTATAGTAAATATGTTTGTAATAAAAAAATTCAAAGCATTATGCGACGTATTTTGACAATTGTTTAAAGAATCTTTGCTAGATATGTTTAGATTCTAATGCAACATAATAGAATTAAGTTTTTAAAAGACATTTATATATATTTGAAATTATATTCTTCTAAAAGTAAAAATGTATAAAATACGTAATTGTTCTATTGCTTAACAAATATCATTGAAACTAATATTAGAATCTAATGATGCTTCATATTGATTAACTAATTGAAAATATTCATCTGATTCCTTGTTGACTGATCGTAATGCAGAACGATGATTATACTTATCCGTATTTATCGTCGTATCAACACCATATGATGCCGTTCACGGTGAGATACGAACGCTTTTCCGTTAATTAAATTACTAGTTAAATTTTGACATGAAATCATTCTAAACATTAAAAAAAAAACTCCATAATAATGATTAGCAATCATCAATTGATTATCATATGAAAGTCTATCAAAAATATATTGTAAATTATATTTAAAACAAAAAAATAAATTTCATACCGATGAATTTGTTCTTAATATAGATGCTTCCTCATTGTGTATCACCACTTGTTCTTCAACACATATTGTCTTGATAAGGTGAAGATGTTCAAACCAGTGTAGATATTCTCATATAACCCAGGTTGAAAAAGTACAATAGTAGACAACCATATACAAAAAAAAAATACGACATATTATGATGATCGTATACGATCATATTGTAGTCGTATTCAACGATAAGTAATTTTTTTTTACATAAAATAATTTTTTCTATAGT